CTTTCATATTTCACATGTTTATTTCTTGTGAGAAGGCCTGGACACCATTAATTTTGACCAATTGACCTTGACCTTGGTGTTTGACTTACTTTTGAAAATTTCAACCTTCTCGAAATCTGCTGGGGCTTTCATATTTCACATGTATATTCCTCTAGACAAGTCCTTTCTTTGGGTACCAACATATTTGATTTGCATTTGAGAAAGTTTATCCCTCGCTATAAGCGCTCGCCCCGTGATCGGGAGGTCGTGAGTTCGAATCGCGGCCGCGACATACCTAAGTCGATAAAAAATATGGGTAGCAACTGTTCCTTGGCCATGCGCTCATCACTTTGAAGCGAAAGTTGCAGGTCCTTCGGATGAGACCTTAAAAACCGAGGCCCCAAGTCACGACAGGCGATTTTCACAATAAAGATCCCTCACTGCTCAATGGCCCTGAGCGCCGAGTAAAGGTCAAATTTTGAAGCCCTGAACCGGTATATGGTGACGTCTCTATATGAGTGAAAAATTCTCGAATAAGATGTAAAACAATATACAATCAATCAATCAATCCCTCGCTATAAGTTGCCATACGTGGGCATCAGTGTTTTACAAACACGTCTCGTATTTAATGTAATTAAGTGAAATTGTAGATTAGACGTTGAACATTCCTGCAATTAAAAGAAAAGTGCTTCTTTTGAAAGTTTATTTTGTCGCAAATTTCGATTGTCCCTGAGTGCAGTCATCCTTTGTTTTGGCTAGACTCACTTCGAAAGACAGAGTTACTCTTTACTTTGTCGGTATATTTCTTCAAACACTTTATCAAAATAATAGTTATCATATAGTTTTTTTTTTTACATATGGTAAAATGTGTACAGGTAAGGTATTGGCATAAGATCGTTGTCAAAATTGTACATTCTATATAGTTACTTAAGTGATATTTTAACCAGCCATTTGCGTGTTTTTTCTTGTCACAAAATATGGTAATCACATCATATTTGTCTGTTGTGGACCCTGGGTTAGAAATAAGTATTCATTTCTGTCTATGGATACCTTCAAATAGGTAAACATGTACAACTTGTAGTATACCGTACTAAAAAGTGGTACTTGTATACGTAAATGGAATTGAAAACAATGGCACGCCATACAATACAAACTTCTATACTACTATATTAAAATAATAGACTCGAATTTTTGGCCTTTAATACCGACAAATCGGAAGAGTACTGTCTATTGTTTTATATGTTTTAAACATCATTGGTACTTGAGGATTACCAATTTGTTTTTATTTTTTCTCAATTAAGCTTCGCGAATTAATAATCAACGAAAATTCCTCAAAAAATTCCGGAAATCATCTGGATTTTTTTGATTTTACAATCTTGCGCGTGCGCATTACATTCACGCTAAATCACGGTGTTCGAATCTGAGAAGACAAAAGTACTAAGTAGATATATATTTGTTATTTTATAATTTCTCTAATAAGAAATCATAAAATTATTTGAACAGAATACATAGCAAATTTCCAATGAAAATTTACACGTATTTGTATTATCGTTTCTGAGTTTATCAATGCAAATGTGATATTGTGGCCACGTGGGTAATCATTCGCCATCTCGGAGACACATTTATTATATGTTATTTACGTCTCTGGTCATCTCAACGGAGGCAAAAACCTCATGATCGTAGGAGCAATATTAATGTAACTACCCGATTTTATTTTATCCTTCCTTTCTTTTATGCTTTTTTGAGGGGAAAGGGGGGGGGGTGTTACAACTCCAGCTAGAATCACATTTTAGTGAAGTAGGCATTCTTTTTCCGCCAAAAATTACAATAACATTATTTTCATTTCTTAACTTTGAAATAAATCGAAATAATCAATTAACGTCAATATAACCGATATTTTCAATTTGAAATATGTCTAAATGATTGTAACTTGAATTTGTTCGCCATGTTTACTATTACCTTCACTGCTGAGATTTATAACGCGGTAAATATGAAACATAAACTAAGGGCAAAGAAATATTTGATTCCATGCAAAAAAATTCACATTATATTTCTTACGAGAGTGTAGTGAAATTAATAGTATTATTGTAGGGTTATATAGCTTTGTTATGTAAATACATGACCTCTGACCCTGACTTTATATAGAAGGGACAGCCTGTTCTTCTAAATATGTAAAGGTTGTCGTGGTAACTACGCTTAATAGGTAGTCTGAAGTCAGCCCTTGCGGCCCGTACAGTTCATTCTATCAATGCTGCTGAAATATCGATCATTTGCATAGGCGTCGGAAGCAAATTGAAAGTGGGGTTGCTAAATGAAAGTGGAGGGGCTAAACCAACGAAAAAAGGTAAGCCCCAATTTTCAATACCTATACTATGTCTATCTTTGCGAAAAAAGTGTGTGTGTTGGGGGGGGGGGGCTAAGCCCCCCTAGCACGTTCCACGGTTCCGACGCCTATGATTTGTAAAATATACTGAAACGCAAAAGAAACGCAACAAGCAGTAATCTACAAATATTTGAATTTTTTATCTAAAGATTTTAAAAAATGAATACATTACGGTTAAACTTGATTTGAAAACATCAGAGATTTGATAAAAATGTTAAATGATTATCTTTAAACTTTAGAAAGTAACACATGACTGTTTAAAACATCCCCAACCCGGCCATTCAATTACAGCGTGCAATTCTGCCATGCACAACAGTTGCAGCTTGATTTCTACGATGCAATAAGTTCATCAATCTCGAGATCTGAGCAACAGAAGTTTTCTTTGCGATTTTTAAATGCCTGTTTTTCAGATGATGAGGTCGAATTTTCTCTATCCAAGCGCAGTGTAGTAACCCTTGGACTTCCGGTCCAAGGACTGTCATTTATGCTAATGATACGTAAGAACCTGTTGAGGCGTGATGTGGATCATATTTGCTTCTGCAACTCCCCATCACCTTTATTTTGAAATTTCCCAGCTAGAGCAATGGAAATGCGTACTTATGTCATTTTCAGGAAGGTTTGGCATCGCTTACGGAAAAGTAAGGGGAATTTATTTTTCGGAACATTGCTGCATTGCTTATGATGAACAGATACACATCCTGAAAACCCCATATTATTGCCAAATGTTTTGTTAAACATGCAATTTTTGATTTCTGTTAAACAGACTCAAACTTAACTTCCGGTAATGGTATCAAAATCATTCAACCGTTAAATTACCGATATTTACAAAGTTGAAGATGTCCTTACATTTCAGATACAAAATTATATCCTAAATGTTATATTTTCCCCCTAAAATATGATGTTGCGTTTCTTTTGCGTTTCAGTATATAATCCATGCATAGTAAATCTCAAAATTATGAGGTGGGACAAAATTAAGATCATAAAGAATATTTATTCATTGATGAAATGAATTATATTTAATCGTAGCAAACAAACTAACGTTTAATTAAATCGCCAAAAGAAAAAAATACACCAGCGTGAAAACAAGTTGTCTTCTTCAGCAGCCATGACAGTTCCCATGTGATGTAATGACTTTTGATTGAAAACGTTTAATACTGCAGTAGATTAACTTTTGTTATCACTAAACAGATATATAAATGTTTATGAGGTATGTATTTTATTTTTGCTGCATTATTTACGTATGAAGTAAGAAAAATTCCCATATTCAGTTCAAGATCCGCTCCCAAATTCTCATTGGCTGTCCCAAAATAAAATCGATCAAGGTCAGTAAACTTTAAAGTTTGGTAAACTCAGACTTTACTAAATATTTTGAAAAAAAAATATGCTTTGAATAATTACATCAAAAACATTTATTTTAAAATGTTTCTGATTACATTGTATGATTTCAATTGAAAAATGGAAATGATATTGTATGATCCAAAAAGAGTTGTAACCCCCCCCCCCCACCCCCCCACCCCAACCTCATGAAAAGGCTTCATTATTGCAGCAAGAAGTACTTTCAAGTTCCTACTTTCCTACTTAGGATACCCTTGGTAAATGTCCGATATGTACATGGATGCATTCATAACAATGTCAACCCGTGTACGCACGGGTCAAAGTCTAGTAAGTTAAAACGAAAGTAGAATTGTATGCATTTTCAGAAAACGTCATTTTTAGAGAATTAAGAAATTGAGGAATGCACATGCCAGGTATACTTTTATTTATTTACTCTTAACTGAAACTGTATAGGTAGTGACATAGTAAGTGATTTTATCTACAAGTATTTTCTAGTTCTTGAGGATTTGAATGGTTTCTTTAAAAGAAAGGGGGCGTACAAGGCGAGGATAATCCCCCGTGTCTCTGTGACAATATTTTTCTCAATTTTCAAAGTTCAATTTTATAATTTTCTAAAATAATGTTTTCCGTAATGTCTTCTTTAACACATATGATTCAGTTATTTTATTGAATGACTTTTTGCTTGATAATTTGTTTTTTAAAGTTGACAGTAAAGCATATTTAGTGGGAAATTGGTTTCTTAGAGCCATAAAAAAAGATTTTTGAATATGAATGGGTTTCGTCTCCATTCTTCATTAACGTTAATATGACGGAAAGGTAAATGTAAAATCTATTTCATGTTTTAAAAAAATGGAGTCTGAACCCATTCTATATGAAAATCGAACTTTTCTGGGAAAAAAATTACGCTTCATCAAACTCGTTTATTTAAATCACACTGACATCAAACAAGACAAGCAGACTTCGTAGCGTAGTGGTTAACGCGTTCAGTCTCACGCCTAACCATGAGCTTTGGAGAGAGTTCAAATCATGCGTGAAACTTTTTTTTTCTTTTTCACAAACCTTAAAAACATTAGTGAAAAATAAATTGTCAATAATTTATGAAACAGAATATGTAAAAGATTATATTGACAATATAATTTTTGAAAAATATAACTTTTCATGAACTTTTAGAATTGAAAAATGTCTGCTCTCAGGGAGGGGGATCGTCCGCGCCTTGCACGCCTTCATTCTTTATTTGAAATTGAAGTTGACGGAATTGTTTTAACAAAGTATCATTGCTTTGATTCTTTTCTACCAGTGCAGAATCAGAGATTATAAACAATGCCTGAACTTTTGAAGCAAAATTACCGTGAACAGCTAGCCACCTGGATTGGGAAGACCTGTCACTTCCGGTTATTGTACAAGATCAGCAGAGATGGATGTTCAGCCACAACGTTTCATCAAAAGTGTGACGGTCAGGGACCAACAGTAACAGTTCTGTATAACACAAATAACACGATATTTGGAGGGTACCTATCACAGAGCTGGAATTCCAATGGCGCACATATCGCAGACACAAATGCATTTCTTTTCCGACTGCAGTATAACGGTTCTTCTTATCCACATAAAGCTCCTGTCAATGGTTCCTATTATAATTATGCAGGCTATGGGGATGGTAATTATGGTCCATCTTTTGGAGGGAATACTGACTTACGCACATTTCAAGGGAACGTTTCAAAATCTGGCAATACGTTTGCGCTAAGTGGTTATGTGCAGGTGCAATACTATACTTACAATGGACAGGATACCAACTCTATGACAAACAATAATCTGTCGGTTACCGACCTCGAGGTCTACCTTGTCGTAGGTATAATCGCCGTGTATTAAACTTTTACTTGTAATTGTTTTGTAATTGTATGAAAATCCTGCAAAAAAATTTCCACACAATGTACTGTCAATAGGTATATAAATGAGAAAAATAAAGTAATGTATTGTAGATGGAACAGGACCAAAGATTTTTGACAAACCATGGAGAGAACCACCTGAATGGAACAATGAGGTATTAAATGTAATTATAGTATTATAATGTATATAATTTTCTTATCAATCAGATTGAATTTAATATAGTGTAGCGGTTATGCATATATATATATATATATATATATATATATATATATATATATATATATATATATATATATATATATCTATATATCTATATATACAAAGCACTAAAAATGACCAACGACACGAACAATAATAATTGTCAAATTTTCGGGACGACTTGCCCCTTCCTCAGGACAAAGAAAAAGTTAAGAAGTCATAAAAACAAAGGAAATAGAGAAACAAAAACAACTAGCACTACTACTAAACTACCAAACACTAAATATTTATAGTGTTACATGTTTAATTTCAAGTAAATAAACAGTCGTGAACAAAGAAATCCGGAGCGCTATGAATTGCGTCCGGTCTATCGGGTGAACTCTGGTGAAGTGCGATTTACATAATTGAACGAATTAATTATCACTAATTAACTACGACAAGCAGTAATTCGTACATTGTCTTATTCTCTCAAAATAGCGTAACTATTTGGGCAGACTTGAACGCAACTTGCTACTTCAAGCACCATTTAGGCCCCTTAGCTGGTTGCGTTTCATTGACGATATAGAGATGAAGTGGGTGGAATGTCGCGAGAGCCTCGAGGCATTCATTTCATTTGCCAGCACCTTTCATCAGTCTATCAAATTTACAGTAGACGTATCTAATTCGAAAAACATATTCCTAGATACTACATCTACCCTGATTGATGGTGAAATCGAGTTCAGTCTCCACACGAAACCCACAGATTCCCATTCGTATCTTATGCCAACTAGCTGTCATCCCCCACACACATTTAAGGATGTGCCTAAGGGTCTAGCCACCAGAATTCGGCACATCTGTTCATCCCCTGCCTTATATCAGGAACAAAGCGGTCTCCTCAAGTCCCACTTATGCAAAAGAGGCTACAATGCCCGCACCGTACAAACAGCTATTGATGAGATGGCGGGACATGACAGGCAAAACCTATTACGCTACAAGGAAAAAGACAATAGCGGCAGGGTCCCTCTGGTAACCACATACCATCCCGTCCTTAAGAACCTCAGCGGTATCCTTCAAAAGAATCTGCCAATTCTCCACTCAAATAAACGAATGGCAGAGGTCTTTAAGGAGCCCCCATTGGCTGCACACAGACGCCCGAGGAATCTAAAGGACATGGTAGTAAGAACCAGATTGGACAATCCATTACCTAACGGGGGCTTTAAAACTTGTTCTGACAGAAGATGTCTTCTATGTAAGCACCGCTCTGACACAGACAGCTTTAACAGCCCTGTTACAGGCCGCAGCTACAAAATACTAGGGAATTTGTCCTGTCAAACAGACAACTGCATTTATCTCATCAGTTGCAAAGTTTGCTCCAAATAGTATGTTGATGAAACAGGAGATCTCCGCAGGAGAGTCAATAATCACCGTTCTACCATTAGGACCAAAAAAACTCAATGAACCCGTTGGGGAACATTTCAACCTTGAAGGTCACAAATGGGAGGACATGACAGTAGTGGTTATTGACCATAATCCAAGATGGACAGACGCTCAGAGAAAAGGCAAGGAAAAGTTCTGGATGCATAGGCTGAAGTCATTCCGCCCTGATGGTATTAACAAACTTAATGACTTCACCAGGATGAACGTGAACAAGACCCAATCCCGGATTGTAACAAACAAGTTCATTCTCTCTATATAGTGTAAACTTTACCGTTAATTCGCATTAGCAATTCTGGAACAACCTACCCAGATATTTACAGCTTACATTTTTGTGTATTTCTTTTATCCTATTTCCAAATTTATAATATATCCAAATTCATATTTTTAAAATTGCCCTTCCATATTATCTTTCTTTAATTTCTTTTTATCATGTATAGTTACGCTATTTTGAGAGAATAAGACAATGTACGATTTACTGCTTGTCGTAGTTAATTAGCGATAATTAATTCGTTCAATTATGTAAATCGCACTTCACCAGAGTTCACCCGATAGACCGGACGCAATTCATATCGCTCCGGATTTCCTTGTTCACGACTGTTTATTTACTTGAAATTAAACATGTAACACTGCAAATATTTAGTGTTTGGTAGTTTAGTAGTAGTGCTATTTGTTTTTGTTTCTCTATTTCCTTTGTTTTTATGACTTCTTAACTTTTTCTTTGTCCTGAGGAAGGGGCAGGTCGTCCCGAAAATTTGACAATTATTATTGTTCGTGTCGTTGATCATTTTTAGTGCTTTGTATAAATTTTCATCCGTGACCTTGTATCTGCTTAGTAGATCCGACACTTAGGATATACAGTGTTGTTGGTTTTTAGTGCTTTATATATATATATATATATATATATATATATATATATATATATATATATATATATATATATATATATACACATGTATATTGAAAATGCTATTTTTTATGCCCCCGTAATCGAAGATACGGGTAAATATAGTTTTTGCCCTGTCTATCCGTCTGTCTGTTTGGGTGTCTGTGTGTTTGTCCGCAAAAACATTAACCTTTCCCATAACTTTTGATTGGTTGGAGTTATGGCTTTCATATTTCACATGTGTATTCCTTGTGACAAGGCCTTCCTTCGAGTACCAACATATTGGACCTTTTGACCGTGACCTTAGAATTTGACCTACTTTTGAAAAACTTTAACCTTGGCCATGACTTTTAAGCAGTTGGTGCTAGGGCTTTTATATTTTGCATGTGTATTTCTTATGACAAGGTCTTCCCCTGCGTACCATTGATATTTACCCTTTGACCTTGATCTTCGAGTTTGACCCATTTTTAGAAAACACTAACCTTGACCATTACTTTTGAATGATTGGTGCTTGGGCTTTCCTATTTACCAGGTACATGTATATATATCCATTGACAGAAGCCCTTTCTTGGGTACCAATATTTTTGATCTCTTGACCTTGGAGTTTGACATGCATTTAAGAAGCTTTAACTTTCACCATAAGCTGACATACGGGGGCATCAGTGTTTCACAAACACATCTTGTTTTAAATACTGAATACCTATAATTATATACATGTATATGTAAGGGTAATACAAGATCTTTAAAAAAAATATGCTTTGCTATCTGAAACGATAAAAATTCAGAACTGAAAAATGAAAAACATTTTGATGATAAATTGAATTTTCATAACTGTCATTTTTCTTTTACGTGAATCATAGTTTTTCTAAACCTCAACTAATCAATGTAAACCGAAGTTCTCCACCTTGTCTGAAGTTTATTGTATGATTGTATGTTTTTAACGCCCTATTCGGAAATAAATCAAGCATAAAGAGATCTATCAAGTTTAACCTATATATATATATATATATATATAGAGAGAGAGAGAGAGAGAGAGAGAGAGAGAGAGAGAGAGAGAGAATATTACATACTAAAATCCATATCATATGTCATATCAGCCCGAGTGGCCCCATATCAGCCCGAGGGCCGAAGGCTTAATATGCGAGTTCACATAAAATCATTGAAGAATGTTTCGTGCATGTTTATGACCTTTTTTCTATTAAATCTAATAAAGCAAATTTTAGGTCTTTGAATACAAATTAAGTCCACAGATGTTAGTAAAGAATTCTTTTACATGTACATGTATATTTAAATAAAATCAAGTTAATTGATTTTTAAACTTTAAACAAGCGTTACTTCCGGTTTGATATGGATTTTTGCCCGCCGGTCCGATACGTGATATGGATTTTCGGAGCGGTCCTTGATATGGGGTATTGTGACGTCACCCGTATCGCACAGTGCAGAATCGGTGTATTTACTACTAAGTATATGATATATAGAGAATAATACATGGCAAAATCTGTATCACACCCCATATCAACCCGAGACTCCAATATCAGTCCGAGGGCCGAAGGCCAGAGGGCTGATATTGGTCGAGGGTTGATACGGAGTGATACAGATTTTGTCATGTATTGTTGTTTTTAATAATATATTTGAAAATAGTGTCTAAAAATCATTTATAAACTTGTAAATTAATTACAATTTTTTAAATAATCGAATGTGTTCTGTTTTTGTTGAATTTCCGTTTCTCATTTTTTTTCCCAAAGGCAATGCAATCAGCGATAAGAAATGAAATAATTATAAATTAAACAAATAATTATTTTGAATAGCATAAGATATCTGATGAAGTAAAATTACAATTTAAATAAACTTCATTAACAAAAAGGTGTAATAAAGGGTGTAGTAAAGGGTGAAATAAAGGTTGCTGATACAGGTTGTGTAATACAGGGCGCGTGCCTGTGTTCATATCAGGGATGCAAAAATCCTGTATTATATAACATATATATATATATATATATATATATATATATATATATATATATATATATATATAAATGAAAAATATTCAAACATATAAAAACACAGAGAACGAGTAAAACATAAGCGCTTTCATTTCTTCTTCATGATGTTATACAATATACTCATGGTAACGTTTATTGTGACGTCATAATAACTTAACGTTAACAAGTCTCTGATTGACGTCATATTTTTCCGTACTTTTGGCAAAATAATACAATAAAAAAGAAATAAATGCGACTCAGTAAAATTCTCTACATGTATAAAGTACAATTCTTTTACAATAAACTATTTAAACTAGGTTTGAAAGTCCTTATAAAATGTTTTTCTTTATCTCTTCTTTCGATTGTATTCGAGTTATACAATTTATAAAATGGAAAGACAGTGAAAGTTTTATTTCCACATAAGTCTAGGTGTTCACTGACTTTAAGTTTACGGTATTCCGGCACATTAATTTGTTGTTTATGGACTCGGATCCTTTCCCGCAAGGTACTTCCCCTCTCTCCGATATATAATTCACCGCAACCAGAACATGTTATAACGTATATGACGTTTCTAGTTAGGCATGACATGTTATTATTAACTGTGAACTGTTTTCCGCTAAAATTAAAATGTTGTCCTTGTTGTATGTATGGACAGGTACCACAACGCGGATCCTGGCATTTGGTCACATGACATTCTGTCGTTTCTTTAAAAGAGGACTTAGTGAGAATTCGTCTAAGATTCTTCGGCTGCCTCCTACTGTTTATGAACTTTCGATTTTTAAATATTTTAGACATAGTTTCATCGGTCTTCAAAACGTCGTTTAGGTGATAAACAACTGGTGCAACGTTTTTATTTTGGGGATTATGTGTCGTTATTAATGGTAGGATCTTGGAATTTGTCCTGTTTTGTTGCACAGGGTTGAGGAGGTTTAAGTTCTTGTAGTCTTTGTATTCTGATTGATTCGTCATGAACGACGGTGCATATTCTCCTCGCTAAGTTATCAGGTATAGCTCTTTTCGTATGTCGTGGATGGCACGAATTAAAATGAAGATACTGATGCGTATCTGTAGGTTTGTAATAGATATCTGCCAAAATGACGTCGTTTTCCTTAATTAACAAAATATCCAGAAATGGAATTCTATCCGTACTTTCTTCCGCTGTAAATCTTATATCAGGATTAAGTTCGTTCAGCAATGTTTTAAAGGTAGATAATTCGTTGTCGCTGAATTTCCATACAATAAAGCAATCGTCCAGATATCTTTTCCAGTAATTAATAATATAATTTTTTACCTCTTCGTTGAATTGTTCTCCCACTTTTTGATACATTTTCTCTTCTAAGTATCCTAATGTTAAGGTGGCATATGTCGGAGCCATTTTTGTGCCCATAGCCGTTCCTTTTATTTGTTTCAAATGTTTTCCATTAAATGTGAAAGTATTATTTGTCAGCACTATTTCTGTTGCTTCCAAAATAAAGTCGCTTGAAAATCTGCCGTTAATTTTTTCAGGATCCTTACTGATCCAGTATTCTACGGCTTCAAGTCCCAGGGAACTTGATATATTACTGTACAAGTTTATGACATCCAACGTAACGAGCTTGCTGTTTATATCAACTTTCTCTGGTAAATGGCGGAGAAAATCGAAGTCATCTTGTACATAACTTTTGACTCCAGAACATAATGGCCTTAGAAGAATGTCTAGTAGATTGCTAAGTCTTTGCGTTGGTGCTGATGGTCCTCCTACTATTGGTCGGAAAGTGAGATCGTCTGGATAAGGACAAGTTATGTATTCCGAGCATTGGGATTTGATGGCCTCTTTTATTTTTCTAGATTTATGAATCTTTGGCAGTCCATAAAAATTGCTTTCACTATATTCATAATCAATTAAGAAGTCTTCTTCTTTTTCTGTTAAACTCGATGATGTTTTATGACGTTTTAAAAGATTCTTAATTTTCTGCATTGTTTTTCTATCGCTGTTGTTTGGTATTTCTTCGTAGTACTCGACGTTCGATAGCATATTCATTATATGAGTTTTATAAAACTTAGAATCCATGATTACAACAGCGCCACCCTTGTCCGCTTCTTTCATTACAATGGATTCATCATTCGACAATGATTTAAGTGCATTCTTCTCTTCTATTGTAAGATTGCATTTTATTTTGCGGTTTTCGTTATTATTCAGAGGCAAATTATTTAATGTCTCACAAACAACATCTAAAATTTCGTTTTGTCCTTTAATAGGATTAAAGTTAGATTTGTTGCGTACAAGATCCTCTTCCTCATCTGAATCTGAGTCACTCATTTTCTTTATAAAAATGTTCTGCTAACCTCAATTTTCTCGTATACTCTTTAATATCTGCCCTTAGTTCTTGATTGTTACTATGAGGTGTAGGGGTAAATTTTAAACCTTTGCATAACAGACGCACCTCCGAGTCACTTAAAAGTCTGTTGGAAAGGTTAATTACTTTAGGGTCAATATTTTTGTTGTGAGTATAGATTTCAAGTCTTGTTCTACACATACCGGTGCTTGTTCGCTGTGTGGCGTCCTTGATCCCCGTACTTGATGCGCCGGTTCGGAACTAAGTTGTTTGCCCCTTGGTTTGGTTTGCCTCCCCCTAAAAATAGTTTCTGGCATTTTTTCCTATGTATGTCACACGGTTAGTTATGTACATGTTGTGTGAATGACCTCTAGATTGATGGTTATATTTTCTGTCACTTGATGATGATTTTCCATACGATCTAGGATTCTGAATTGGTTTGAATGGAATACGTTGGTTCTGGATCTTTGGTTTATTACATATTTGATTTTTCCGTATGTAGTTGTCTTTCTTCACATTCGTCGCCGGTGGTAAAGTGTTATATGTATCATTCCTTGGTGGGACGTTTCTGCTTATTTTCTAGGCGGAATTACGTTAGTTTTTCTGATTTGTTGTTTGTTAGCTCTGTTGTCCTTTATAGCTTCATTTCCATACTTATTCTCGTAGTCTAACAGCCAAGCTTCCTTGTATCGCCATTTGTTGAACGTTTTCTGTTCTTCTCTTTAACAATCTGATTCCCAAATTTTAAGAAGAATTTCGAGAACTTTACCCGATGCTTTATTCCTCATTTCCTTTTCCATTTGTAAATCAAAATCAGTTTCTTTTTTCTGACTGTTGCTTGATCTCATACGTAGTAAAAGAATTTCTCCTTTCACACGTTCTTAGCTACCTCAATCCGGGTGGCTGTTTGGTCATCAGGCTCTCCGTGGATTGGTTTAATTCTGAATTTTCTCGGTAATGTCGGCTCCTGTTGATTAAGCCATTTTTCAAATTGATCTGCGTGATTTGCATTATTTACCTGGACGATTGCTTTATTGTATGGAAATTCAGCGACAACGAATTATCTACCTTTAAAACATCGCTGAACGAACTTAATCCTGATATAAGATTTACAGCGGAAGAAAGTACGGATAGAATTCCATTTCTGGATATTTTGTTAATTAAGGAAAACGACGCCATTTTGACAGATATCTATTACAAACCTACAGATACGCATCAGTATCTTCATTTTAATTCGTGCCATCCACGATATACGAAAAGAACTATACCTGATAACTTAGCGAGGAGAATATGCACCATCGTTCATGACGAATCAATCAGAATACAAAGACTACAAGAACTTAAAGAATATCTACGGAAACAAAGCTATCCAGACAAAATTATTGATGATGCTATTAAAAAAGCCACAGAATTAGACAGAAAGGACCTCCTCAACCCTGTGCAACAAAACAGGACAAATTCCAAGATCCTACCATTAATAACGACACATAATCCCCAAAATAAAAACGTTGCACCAGTTGTTTATCACCTAAACGACGTTTTGAAGACCGATGAAACTATGTCTAAAATATTTAAAAATCGAAAGTTCATAAACAGTAGGAGGCAGCCGAAGAATCTTAGACGAATTCTCACTAAGTCCCCTTTTAAAGAAACGACAGAATGTCATGTGACCAAATGCCAGGATCCGCGTTGTGATACCTGTCCATACATACAACAAGGACAACATTTTAATTTTAGCGGAAAACAGTTCACAGTTAATAATAACATGTCATGCCTAACTAGAAACGTCATATACGTTATAACATGTTCTGGTTGCGGTGAATTATATATCGGAGAGAGGGGAAGTACCTTGCGGGAAAGGATCCGAGTCCATAAACAACAAATTAATGTGCCGGAATACCGTAAACTTAAAGTCAGTGAACACCTAGACTTATGCGGAAATAAAACTTTCACTGTCTTTCCATTTTATAAATTGTATAACTCGAATACAATTGAAAGAAGAGATAAAGAAAAACATTTTATAAGGACTTTCAAACCTAAATTAAATAGTTTAATGTACGCAGGACAGTTAGGTGCCAAATGGAAATACCGGCGAATTTTTTAGATAGAAAATACATTCTCTACAAGGATGGGCATTTCTTTTTAGGACTTTACTATTATCGGACAAATGTAATTTGGTTGAAAACTAAACGCAGTACGGTTAAGGCAACACAAAGTGAAAATATGCTAATAAGGGGATAATGAGATATGACGTATAGGATATTTGCTCCGCCCTAATTTCCATATATGGAATAGTTGCTAAAAACAGCAAAACAAAATAAAGAAGAGTTTTTTAATTATCATTTTGTTTATTTTGATTTGTTTATTTTCATATTTTTCTCCATTGAATATAAAATTTATGATTGTTTTATTCGATGGCAAGCTATTTTATTTGACGTTTGGTGCGACATCTGTGTCAGTGAAGCGCTTGCGCTGCGCACGTTTTCATTCATTATCACGGAGTGATGGCCGAGGCGGATGGAAACAACGTTTGCTCATAAACAGGTCTGGTTAGAGCCAAGAAGAAGAGAAAATAGGTAAGTTGTAGGTACAGTAATGCGAAGAGAATACTACACTGTTCTTGTGTATAATTATTTGAAAGAATCAATGCACTCTATGGAAAAATATCCTTGCTGAATTTGTCACGATGAACCACGTGGTGACCCCATTAAAAAGCAATGTGTCAACGGTTTTAAAATATGAATTGTGCAGTGACTTTGAAATCCTTGATTATAAATAATTGTGGTTTATTAAGGCTAGGTATTATAAGTTAAATTTTTTTTTGTCACAGATTGTTAAATAAATGTTTATGATAAGTTATAATTGGACTGCTAATGAACTGCGCAATAGACTACCTCTATCTTGGAGGCCCAGTTATCATGGTTATGATCAAACCCTGCCTAATAGTCAAGAACTATTTTAAAACAAATAGTAAGGGTTTTTATTATGAGAATTAAATATATATTAAAACCTTTTAAAGGCAGTACAGTATGTACCTTCTTTGGGTATCAACAGAATGATGTACTTCAATTTCAAAACTTTACATGAAAACTGACCCCTTTTTTACTCTCAGGCTATGTGGCAAAATGTTTATATGCCTTTTACTTTACTGTTATTAAAACGAGGAAACAGAAAAACTTCTCATGAGTTTACCAAAGGCATTGATCTAACCTGAATTCACTGGTAATTTACCAGAGCTCCAGATAAGGTGTGTATTTGCAGAAATATGCATTGAATTTTTCAAAATACGCATTAAAAATTAAAACAGGGCGTACAATTATGCATTAGAAATCATAAATAAGCATTACACTATGAAAGTACTGTGTACGACAGATTGAATGTTGACTAATAATGTGAATTTTGATTAAGCGTATTCGGAATAACATAGGCCGATTTCCAGTTCAGGAGAAAGATTTGAATATTAGAGACTTGTATTTTGTCTTAAAATTTAACAGATTTCCACTGTTCATATAACATCCAAATTTTTGTTCTTGACGCGTACAGGTTGATATTGTCAAAATTGCTCAAAAACACGCATGGTGTGCAATTTATTCTTTATCACTGTTTATTAAAGAGTTCTTGTATATTTACCATTTTCTGTAACTATAATATCATCTAATCTAAAGTCTGCTGACAACTTTTATTAATTGTATGAAAATAATGTTGCTTTTTTGCTTTTCACATGCTCCTGTGCTATAAGTAGCGCCATGCGACTTTTTTGCAGTTGGAAAATTAAGAAAATTTCTTTAAAAAGTTTTTAGAGCATTTATTTGAAAGACTGAAATGAGGTTTAACATTTATTTCATCCATACGACCAGTCGGTCATGTTTATAGACATTTAACACAACCGGACCACTCATTCACTAGACTGGGTCGGTCGGACTTGCCTTAGTGTAAAACCCTGATGTGGTTCGGTCATGCTATGACAGACCTCTGTGTCCCTAAGAAGTTTACACAGAATTAAACATATTTGCTCTCCAATAGGAAAATATTTGCAAATGTAAATATTAAGTACTGAAGCTTTTATTGAAATATTATCTGCCATGTCTTCCCATCAATTTTGAACATGTTAAATAATGTTGGGGTTGCATCATGACTAGTAATGATCAACTTTCATTTCACAACAGTCCAAAACATTCATAGCACAGTTATTTATTACTTAGATATTTTTTTTTCAAATTTGCATGAGACTGCAAATAGAGACAGTGTGACTGGGGCTTTAGGAGCAGAACACACTTCTGATGTCAATTTGCATTTATGTACCAGGCAAAGCCTTTGTGCAACAGTTAATCAATGTACTGAAGGACAAGACTTGTGCATGTATAGACAATTTTTAGCTCACCTGAGCCGAAGGCTCAAGTGAGCTTTTCTGATCACATTTTGTCCGTCGTCCGTCCGTCCGTCTGTCCGTCTGTCCGTCTGTCTGTCCGTCTGTCTGTCCGTCCGTCTGTAAACTTTTCACATTTTTGACTTCTTCTCAAGAACCACTGGGCCAATTTTGACCAAACTTGGTACAAAGCATCCTTGGGTGAAGGGGAATTTAAATTGTTAAAATGAAGGGCCAAGTCCCCTCACAAGGGGAGATAATCAAGAGAAGACAAAAATAGGGTGGGGTCATTAAAAAATCTTCTTCTCAAGAACCACAGGGCCAGTAAAGCTGAAACTTATATGGAAGCATCCTGGGGTAGTGTAGATTCTAAATTGTTCAAATCATGACCCCCGGGGGTAGGGCGGGGCCACAATGTGGAATCAATGTTTTACATAGAAATATATAGGAAAAATCTTTAAAAATCTTCTTCTCAAGAACCACTGGGCCAGAAAAGGTGAAACTTATGTGAAAGCATCCTGGGATAGTGTAGATTCTAAATTGTAAAAATCATGACCCCCGGGGGTAGGGCGGGGCCACAATAGGGAATCCAAGTTTTACATTGAAATATATAGGAAA